GCCTGAGCTTTTTGCAAAAAATTCTATTTCGGTCCAGAATGTTTTCTGTCTTTGTTCTTTCTAAGATCCTTTAAGATTCTACTCAAGGCTTTCTAAAGTCTACCACCAGCACCCTCAGCTGGTCTTCTCATGCTTCCTAGGTCAGTATTGTCAAGTTTCCTCCTTAGCCATAGTTTCCTAGCACTTTCTCTTTTTCTGCATTTTTCAATCTGCCTGTATTTTAGGCTATGAACTTTATGAAAGCAAGGATATATTCTATCAATTGCATCACCTAGTGACATCTAGCTCCATTCTCAGCACACAGTTGGCACTTAGTAAGTGTTTGAGTTGAATTAATGGTAGGATCCCCAAAATGAAGGGCTTAATTTTATCTGTGCATTTATTTATTCAATGTGTGCCATAGAGTGCTGCTTTTTTCTGTGTTTGGTATTTTGTTTGTTTATGTGGAGAAGAATGAGGGCCATGTCATTTCAATTTCAGTAGAAATTATTGGGTAGCAGTTTATCATACAATCGTGATGAACAAATACATTTAAATATGTTATAGTAGAAAAAAACTGACTTTGGAACTTAAGATATTATTTCAAATTTTAACTCTAAACATGTCACCTTAGGCAAGTATCTGACCTCGTCAAGCTTTTTTCTTCTAGTTTAACATTGGGGATACTAATTAATTAGTTTTGGTGAGTAGATAATTTTATAAGTACTTGGCACAAGTGGGTTTTCTGCAATTCTTTATCCCTCTCCGTCTAAACCAGCTTTATCTAGTCCTGTATATCAGTCAAAGGAAAGAGCCCCCTTTTTAGGAGTTCTGAAGTAGTTTTTCCTTACTCCCCTAACACCTATGATCACTCAATGAACACCCATGATACATGGTGGCAGCAAGAAGGAAATAGAGATTCACAAAATGAATCAACCTAAAAGATTCAGTTGATTCCATTGATTGCCAGAGGTGAAGGCTGTATTGGCACACTTAGCCTGCCAGGTTAAGTCAGTCAGCTTTGCAGAAAATCCAACTCATATATAAAAGTTTTCTGGTTTTATAATTAATTCAAGACACATTTTTATTGGTCTATTCTAATTATCCAAACAACTTTCTAACTGTCTAACTGTATAACCATCCATAAGACTGCGTGTTTGTATTAGATTTTAAAAGCTGATTCACTGTCCAGGTAAAGGCTGAGTCCAAAACAGTCCTGTCTCCATATGCAGTCCATGTTGAGCTCCTTAGCTCCATACTAAATTCTGTGGGGAATGTAAAGCAGCTCAAGATGCTTCTAATCTAAGTAGGGGATGTGGGTGTGGGGGGAGACATGCGTAAAATCCATTTTTTCTAACAAAGTAGAATGGTAAACGTTCTGAGTGGAAAGGAGCTAGTGGAAAGCTTCATGAAAAGAGGACCCTAAGAGTTAGGTTTGAAAATTCTAGGCCAGGGCATGAACATACATGATTAGTTTGGGAAATGGTGATATAATTGAAATTTATGCTTAGGGATGTGAGTTTGGACAGACTGGAGACACAGCCTTGAATGCTGTGTCAAGCGGTTAAGACTATGAAGCTTTTAATTACACTCACTTTCTTAGTATATGTTAAATTATGTTAGTCAAGATGTGTTCACTTTCATATTACTGAATTGAAGTTGCCTTTTTTAGCCAAGCAACATACTGTACTAAGAATAGTGTAGATTATTATAAGAGGATTGCAATTTGTTCTTCAGGATAAAAACGTAGAACTTCTCTGGGCAGCAACTGAGAAGGATCTATTTGCCATTTCTTTTTTTAAAAAAATATTAAAATGGATTTTTTTCTATTGTGGTAAAAAAAAAACTCCTAACTTACAATTTACCATCTTAACTATTTTTCAGTGTACAGTACAGTGGTGTTGCGCAACAGATCTCTAGAACCTTTTCAACTCCTAAAACTGAAACTCTATACCCACTGAACAGCTATTCTATGCCTCCTCATCCCAGTCCTTGGCAACCATCATTCTACTTCTATTTTTCTAAGAGTTTGACTACTTGAAATATCTCATATAAGTGGAATCATGCAATATTTGTCTGTTTCACTTAGCATACTGGCCCCACATTTCATTTTTGTTGCATATGAGGGGATTTCCTTCTTTCTTAAGACTGGATAATATTCCATTGTATGTGTTTTTACCTCATTTTATTTATCTGTTCATCCACTGATGAACATTTAAGTTGATTTCACCTCTTGACTATTGTGAATAATGCTGCAGTGAACATGGATGTGAGCAAATATCTTTGCAAGGTTGTCTGATCCTTTGGATATATACTCAGAAGTCAGATTGCTGAATCATATGGTAGTTGTATTTTTAATTTTTTGAGAAATGGCCATACTGTTTTCCATAGCAGCTGTACCACTTTCCATTTCCACCAACAGTGCACAGGGTTCAGTTTCTCCATATCCTCACCAACATTTGCTATTTTCTGGGTTTTTCATACCTAATGGGTGTGAGGTGATAATCTCATTGTGGTTTTGATGTGCGTTTCCCTGATGCTTAGTGATGTTGAGCATCTGTTCATATTGTTTGTTTGCCATTTGTATGTCTCTTTCGGAGAATTATCTATTCAAGTCCTTTGCTCTTTTTTAATTGGATTGTTGGTTTTTGTTGTTGAATTGTAGGAGTTCTATTATGTTGTAAATATTTACCCCTTATCAGATCTGTGGTTTGCAGATATCTTCACCTCTTTTGTAGGTTGCCTTTTCTCTGCTGATTGTTTCCTTTACTTTGCAGAGTTTCTAAGTTAGATGCAGTTCCATTTGTCTATTTTTGCTTTTATTGTCTGTGTTTTTGGTGTCATACCAGTAAGTTATTGCCAAATCCAGGGTCAGAAAGCCTTTCCCCTGTGTTTTCTTCTGGGAGCTTTATAGTTTCCAGTCTTCCATTTAGGTTGTTTTGTTTGTTTGTTTGTTTTTGAGTCAGAGTCTCACTCTGTCGCCCAGGCTAGAGTGCAGTGGCATGCCGCTCACAGCCACTGCAGTCTCGACCTGCTGGGCTCAGGCGATCCTCTTGCCTCCACCTCTCAAAGTGCTGGGATTACTGATGTGAGCCACCGTGCCTGGACGATTTAGGTCTTTAATTCAATATTAGCACTTTCTTAAAGTATGGTTTGTATTTTGAGCAGGGAATGAGAAGTCTTTTCTTTAATATGACTGTCAAGGGCAACCCCTTTGGGTCCCCTCCCACTGTGAGAGCTTTTCTTTTTTTTTTTTCCTCTCATTATAGGAAAAGTTTTTATTTATTTTTAAGTATAAAGATGTGGGGTACAATCAGAGTTAGACATACAAACATTGATTATTCAGGTACCTTTGTTGATGACGTGTGCCCCTCCCACCCCAGCAGTTTCCCTCAACTGCCACTCCCACCCCTCCTCCCCTGACAGTTTCCCACTGCTGCTAATCCCTTTCTTATAGTATGATAATTGTTCAAGGTCCGCTTATGAGTGAGAACGTATGGTACAACGTACGGTACTTTGTTCTTTGTTTCTGTGATAGATCACTAAGTTGCAAAGTTCATATGTTTGTCCTTCTTTATGACTGCACAATATTCCATTGTGTCTGTGTACCACATTTTTGTTTATCCAGTCCAGCTTCGATGGGCAGCATAGTTGGTTCCATGTTTTTGCTATTGTGAATAGAGCTGCAACAAACATACATGTGCAGGTATCTTTTTTGTAGAATGATTTGAGTTCCTACGGGTATATTCCCAATAGAGGAATATGGAACCTTTCCATATTACCCAAATATGGAAAGTTAATTTCTAGTTCTTTCAGAAATTGCCACACAGTCTTCCAAAGAGTTTGCACTAGTTTGCATTCCCACCAGCAGTGTAGAAGCATTCCTTTTTCTCTGCATACTCACCGGCATCTGTTGTTGTTTGTTTTATTAATGATGACCATTCTTACCAGGGCTAGGTGGTATCTCAGTGTGGTTTTGACTTGCATTTCTCTAATGATGAGTGAGGCTTTTTCATGTGTCTGTTGGCCGCCCATATATCTTCTTTTGAGAAGTGTCTATTAGTGTCTTTTGCCTAAACTTTTCTGTCCTCTTAATAAATCCTGCTTTCTTAAAACAAAACAAAACAAAACTATATATATATATATATGAGACTGTCAGGAATTCACTATATTTAACTTTTTCCCTCTTTGTCCCTTCCTCCTCTCTTTCTCTTATTCTGTCCTTTCCTCCGTCTCTCCCTCCTTCCCTCCCTTATCGCTTGAAGATAATGGACTCTCATTTGTTGTTTATAATTGCTATGCTTGGCCAGGCTTAGTGGCTCAGCCTGTAATCCCAGCACTTTGGGAGGCCAAGGCAAGTGGATTGCCTGAGCCCACAGGTTCGAGACCCACCCAGGCAACTAGGTGAGACCTCATCTCTACAATAAATCAAAAACTAGCTGGGTGTGGTAATGCATGCTTGTAGTTCCGGCTACTTTGAGGCGGAAGGATCTCGAGCCCAGCAGGTCAAGGCTGTGAAAGCCAGGAGTGTGCCACTGCACTCCAGTCTGAGCGACGGAGTGAGACTCCAACTCAAAAAATAAAAAATTGCTATGCTTTTAATTAGTAGAATTTTTTTAAAAATACATAATTATTTTACTTATTTTTTACATGGGGTAGAATTCAGGGTTAAGTATACAAATGTTCATTATGCATGTACCCTTGTTGATGAGGTGTACCTTCTACCCCCAACCCTGCCACCCCCACCCCCAATCCACCACCCCCATCCCCATCCTCCCGGCAGATTCCCATTACTGCCAGTCCTACCCCTGCCCTCCTGTGGCAGTTTTCCACTACTGCCAACCAATCCTTACTATAATTGTTCAGGATTGCTTATAAATGAGAACATGTGGTACTCAGTTGTTTCTGTGATAGGTCACTTGGTATTATAGATTCTGAGTCTATCCAGGTTGCTGTGAAGTTCATAGTTTTGTCCTTCTGATAATGTATTCATTTTCAATAACACTTTTTTGTGTGTTCCTTGGTTAGCAGGAAGAAGATGAGCCTTAAGTCTGAACGCCGAGGAATTCATGTGGATCAATCAGAACTCCTGTGCAAGAAAGGCTGTGGTTACTATGGCAACCCTGCTTGGCAGGGCTTCTGCTCCAAGTGCTGGAGGGAGGAGTACCACAAAGCCAGGCAGAAGCAGATTCAGGAGGACTGGGAACTGGCAGAGCGGTAAAAGGACATAATTAGGGGTGGTTTAACAGTGACATAATTGGATTCATAGTCCTGTCATTGTCCAAGTACATTTTTCTCTTCTGTTTTTGAGCTATGAGCATGTCACTGCATTCCTGATACTCTTAGTAGCTGATCCTATTTCATAAAGAAAGGTAGCGCTTCCCCCCACATCAAAATTTATTAATATTAATATCTTTATATTAACTACTCTTCTGTCTCAGAGAAAAATGTGTCTCTATTCCATCCTAAGACTAACACCTCCATCTGTGGTTTTTATTTCTATTTCTTACTGCTTTCAATTGTGACCTTGCTTGAGTTTCATACAGCAGTATTTTTCAACTTTGAACAGGTGTCAGAATCACCTGTGGAAACCTTGTAAAAACAGTGATTGCTGGACCTCACCCTCAGAGTGTCTGATTTCAGTAGCTTGGGCATGGGCCCAGAGAATTTGCATTTCTCACAAGTTCCCAGGTGATGCTGGTGCTACTGTCTGGGGAGTCACACTTTGAGGACCATTGTTTTATAGATAGTTCTTGAGATTTACTGTAGATACTTCAAACGCAACTGATCCAAAGCCAAATTTGATGCTTTATTTTTCTTCCCAGTCCTAACCTTTTCCTCCTACATCAATTAATGTATAAATGTTTATCCAGTTAGCTAAAAAACCTTTAACTTATTCCTAATTTCTCCTTCACCTCCCTTGCCACCTACTACTTCTTGACCAAGTTCTACTTATTGCAGCTTCAAAAAATCTTAGATTTCATCCTTTCTATTCCTATTTTCCCCTTTCTCCCTCCCTTCCAATAGGTTCATGTTCTGTTGCTCAGTGGTGCCATCATAGCTCACTACAGCCTCAAATTCCTGGGCTCAGCCTCCTGAATAACTGGAATTACAGAATTAGAGATGTGCCTCCATACCCAGTTAATTTAAAAAAATGTTTTTTAGAGATGTGGTCTTCCTATGATGATGGCTGGTCTTAAACTCCTGGCCTCAAGCAATCCTCCCATCTTTGCTTCCCAAAGTGTTGGGATTACAGGCGTGAACCACTGCACCCAGCATTTCTACTTTTATTTTCTAGATCCCTATTTCCTTTCATGCAGACCTTTGTAATGGACTCTTAATTATTGCCCATCTCCAGCCTCTCTGCCCGTCAAGTTATTGACAGAACTACCCACTTAGCTTTCTGAAGCACAGCTCTGATCATGATAATTTCTTGAATTTACAATCTTTTTTGTTTCCCTACCCCGTGATAAAATCCAGAATAATAGCAGAGTTACAGTCATGATTCCTCACCATCTGGTGCCTTTCTGTGTGTCCAACATCATCCCATCAGTGCTATGGCTACATTGAACTTGTTCTAAAACAAACTGCATACTTTTTTTCACATTTGTGGTTCCCTCTTCTTACAGTGTCCTTTCACTTAGTAGAATCCCATTCATCCTTCAGAACCTAGCCCAAATGTCACCATTGTAAAGCCTTCTCAGACTCCTCCAGTAGATTTAGTTCTTTCCTGCGTCCTCATAGCACTTGATTTTACTCTCTACAATAGGAACTGTTCCACTTATGTGTAATTATTTACTTATCTCTTTCTCCATTCCAACCAGGTTGGAATGGAAAAAGAGCTCATTAGGGGAAAGAACTTGACTTATTTCTTTCCTATAATCCTAGTATGATTGCTGACTGAGCATGATCTATGGAGAAGGTCTCTTTTGAAGTCTGTAGTAGCATGTAGAACAGTTTCATCCTGTAGCTAGGTATCAGAGACGTTGGAATTATTTGGTATATTTAGCCTGTAGCTCTAAAATGATTAGATCATTTAATTAATCAAGTAATAACCTTTAAATAATTGGATAATAAACTTCAGACACAAGGAAATCTTGGAGAATATATAGATTATTTTGGGTTTTTAAAAATTCTCTTTTCCCCCTCTAATTCAGTATGACTGATATAGATCATTCTTAATCCTCTCTTGAATTTCAGACTTCAGCGGGAAGAGGAAGAGGCCTTTGCCAGCAGTCAGAGCAACCAAGGGGCCCAATCCCTCACATTTTCCAAGTTTGAAGAAAAGAAAACCAATGAGAAGACCCGCAAGGTTACCACAGTGAAGAAATTCTTCAGTGCTTCTTCCAGAGTTGGATCAAAGAAGGGTAATTTTCTGATACTTTTTTTGCCTTCTGTGCCTGAGTGAGATACAGAGTAGATCCACAATGCATGTGGGTTCAGTTTTCTAATTTCTGTAAATTTTTCTGAGGGGGAACCCCAAAAAACCCCAAATTATCTTTTGGAGGGCAGACCCTTATAGTACACTTGGAATTTGTTCCTCTGGATCAGACAGTCAACCAGAGTTTTAAATCTAGAAGTTCTGAGGTGGTTGTGTCGTGATTTGCAGAAGAAATGTCCCGAGTTGTGGCAAACAGGTGACTGGTTCTTCCGCCACGACAAGGTACTCGACCACGCTGTGCTGAGTGTTCAGCAGATTTGTATTAAAAATGGCATGATTCTTGTGTCCCACCCTCTCTGTGTGCTCGATCTTGCCCTGAGCGGCTTTTTCTTGTTTCCCTGGATGAAAAAAGTCCTCAAAGGGAAACTTTTTGCTGATGTGGAAGAAGTGAAATAAAAAACAGGAGAAACATTAAAAGCCATCAAAATTGAGTAGCCCAAAAACTGTTTTAAGCAATGGGAAAAGTGTCTTGATAGGTGTATTGCCTCAGATAGAGAGTACTTTGTAAGTGACTGAAGTTTATTTTTATTTTTATTTTTATTTTTTTGAGTCGGAGTCTCACTGTTTCTCAGGCTGGATTTCAGTGGCACACTCCCAGCCACCACAGCCTCGACTTGCTGGGCTCAGGTGATCATTCTGCCTTCTAAGTAGCTAGAACTACAGGTGTGTACCAGCATGGCCGGATAATTTTTTTTTCTTTTTTTTTGTAGAGACAAGGTCTCACCAAGTTGCCCAGGCTCATCTCAGGCGATCTCCCGCCTCAGCCTCCCAAAGTGCTGGGATTATAGGCATGAGCCACCGTACCCAGCTGGTGACTGAAGTTTAAAACATGTAAGAATAAATGCACAGTTGTTGTTTCTTTCTGAGTTGGAGTCTCACTCTGCCGCCCAGGCTGGAGTGCAGTGGTACGCTCACGGCCACTGCAGCATCGACCTGCTGGGCTCTGGCGATCCTTCCACCTCAGCCTTCTAAGTAGCCGGAACTACAGGCGCGTGCTACCACGCTTGGCTAATTTTTTATTTATTGCAGAGACGAGGTCTCACCAAGTTGCCGAGCTGGTCTTGGACCCACGGGCTCAGGCAATCCACTCGCCCGGTCTCCCAAAGTGTTGGGATTACAAGCTGGACCACTGAGCCTGACCAATACACAATTTTTTATAATTAAATTCTGTTTTTTGGGGGTCCCCCCTCAGGAAACACCAGCCCAGATTTGAGACTGAAATTGGGTTTGAAGGTCAGAAAAAAAAATATATGAAACCAGGACTCCCTTCGGTTGAAGGACATTGTATTTTTTTGTTTTTTTGGTTTTTTTGAGTTAGAGTCTCACTCTGTGACTCCGCTCCCGGCCACTGCAGCCTTGACCTGCTGGGCTCTGGTGGTCCTTCCACCTTAGCCTTCCAAGTAGCTGGAACTACAGGCGCACGCTACCATACCCCGCTCATTTTGATTTATTGTAGAGATGAGGTCTCGCCAAGTTGCCCAAGCAGGTCTCGAACCTGTGGGCTCAGGCAAAGGACATTGTGTTTTAAAGAAACTTGTTTACAGGAGGAATAAAAAATATTGAAATATGTAGTGTTATTTAAAAGTTCATTCCCATCCAGATGACTGTCCCTTTGAATGTTTTGCTTTTTCTGTGTGCCTTTATTTTTTAGATTCTGATTTGTTTTCCTTTGTATAATACCTTCACTGTTCATAACTTATCAGAAATGGCTGTTTCCAGACTTGAAAGCTATCTGAGAGAAGTTTTCTGAGAGCTTATTCGAGAGACAGCTTGTAGCTTGAGAAAATGTATAGAGAATATATAGGAAAAGGCTTACTTTGGACTCTTAGGAGGGACAAAAGTAAACCATAGTAGATATTTTCTAGTGCATGGATTTGTATGTAGATGACCTTATTCATCTTACTTAAAATGCCATATAACCGACCAGGCACAGTGGCTCAGCCTGTAATCCCAGTACTTTAGAAGGCCGAGGCGAGAGGATTGCCTGAGCCCGGGGGTTCAAGACCAGACTGGGCAACTTGATGAGATCTTGTCTCTACAATAAATCAGAGAAAATTAGCCGGGCATGGTGGCGTGAGTCTATAGTTCCAGCTACTTGGAAGGCTGAGGCAGAAGGATCGCCTAAGCCCAACAGGTCAAGGCTGTGGTGACCATGAGCATGCTACTGCACTCCAGCCTGGGTAACAGAGTGAGACTCTGACTCAGAAAAAAAAAAAAAAAAAGAAATACATATCTTTACATTTTAAAAAATCATAGTATTTTTCTTTAAGAAATGCACACCTTTAAATAATCTTTTTTTGTTCACAGGATTAATTTGTTCACAGGATTAATTTGAAATTGTTTCTTGGTTGACTGCCAGTTGTAGCAATTTGGTGTCTACTGAGTAAGAAGAATAATTAATACCTGCCAGAGATTAAATAAGAATGTATTTGACTAATGATTTATTTATTAGAAGGTAGAATAGTAAGATGGCTTTGGAGTCACTCCTGGTTTGAATCCCAACTTTGCCATTTACCAGCTGTGTGACCTTGGGCAAACTAATCTCTCTGAGCCCTGTCTATGCTGAGGGACAGTAATACCTATCAGAGGCATGTGAGGAGGATTAATGAACTGATGTGTGTAAAGAAGTTAGCAGAGTACCTGACACCACATAATAAGTCTTCAGTAAATGTTAGCTATTTTAAAATACTGCTATTTTGGTTATAAGCAACATTTCCTTTTAAAATAAAACAGAAGAAAACAACAAAAGTCACAAAATCCAGGAAGACTGGCAAGGATCTTAAAGGGTAGATTTTAAAATAGGTAGAATAACCTTATAAGAAGAATAACCTGAGGTCAAGAAAGTCCAGGGCATTGATCAAGGCCATTCATTTCTTTTTAGCTTAAATTCTGTTTCCTACTTGGGAGAATCTCATTAACCTTTTGAATTTAAGATATATAGTGAAATGGTATACATTTATAACAGCAGATGAAGTAGTTAAAAAATTATAGCATTATCTACTCTAATTGCTTCATTTTTCAGATGACAATATGAAGGCCCATAAAGGTTAACTAATTTTCTCAAGGTCATATAATGAACTGATGTATTCAAATTCAGATCTCCAAATTCCTGATTCAGTTTTTTTCCATTATATCTCTTTACCTCAAATATATATATACCTCAGAAACTCAGTTTATTTATATAGTTGTAATAAATATTAAATATATATGCTGAATGAGGTTTCTGTTACTTAAGAATTATGTACATTCTTTGACTCTTCTTGGTGTTTTTAAAAAACCATCCTAAAGCTTCTGTACAATGTGGGTTTTATTATGGAGATAAGATTTATACTCCAGTGCAAAATCTATACTTTAAAAAGAAACAATCCCAAGCGATTTTTATTTTTAAAATGTGTAAACAGAATAAGCCTTATCTTTCTTTTTGAATGATAGATTTGTACTTTAGATTTTTTTTTTTTGCTCTTTAGTTAAAGCTTTTGAGGTTTTTTAAAAAATTCATATTAGAAAAGAAGATTGTGTTGGATCTTTATTTTGCCAGATTACTTATGTCAGGTAGACTTTGATTTCAGACTGATAATTTGTTTGGCCTTTGTGTGTAGATAAGGTTAGCCTATATACTAAGTGCAATTTTAATTTTTTGGATCTAGGCTAAGAATAGACTTTTTTGTATTCTGTGTCCTTTATTTTACTTCCTTAGTACATGATGCCATTACTCTTGATATTTTACTTGTTCCTATCGGTAGCACAAAAGAAAGCTCCTAAGCTATAGTAGCTTGGTAGCAAACAAAACACAAATAACCTAAGGGATTTGAAGAATATTTTAACATCCCATAGAGTGGGATACCCTTTCAGAGAAAGTAAATGGATCAGCTTGACTGCAAAGACTCAGGAAGTTATCATTTCCAAAGTAAAGTAGAGTGAACTATAGTTTATAGAGTAAATTATATAGTCGGTTGGTCAAGTTGAAATACTTATAAGTTACAAGCTGCCCTTTTATTTTAGAGCTCATGTAAATGTTGTCACCCTGAGTAGAATCATGTATGCCTCTTTCACAAACTGATCAGAAGACAATGATCCTAGGAGGACAATCTTTTTTTTTTTTTGAGTTGTAGTCTCACTCGGTCGCCCAGACTGGAGTGTAGTGGCCGCTCCCTGCCACCGCAGCCTCGACCTGCTGGGCTCCGGCGATCCTTCCACCTCAGCCTTCCGAGTAGCCAGAATTACAGGTGCACGCTACCACGCCTGGCTGATTTTTTTTTTGATTTATTGTAGAGATGAGGTCTCGCTGCCCAGGTGGGTCTCGAACCCACGGGCTCAGGCAATCCACTCACCTCAGCCTCCCAAAGGCGTGGGATGACAGGCTGAGCCACCGAGCCCGGCTGGAGGACAATCTTATAACAGTCTCTTCACATAGACCTTAGATTCTAAAGTGAATGAAGGCATCTTGGAGAAATGACTAATTCTGGGGCTAAGACCAGGGAAGAAAGGGCTAGACACCCCAAAATTTGAGAGATGTGTCAAAAGACCCAGAAACCAACTTGAAGGGGTTTCCCACTGCCCACTGACCAAATCTGGGACAATTTGAATATCAAAATAAATAAGGCCAATAAATGGAGTACAACTCATTGAATAAAATAATAAACCAGCCGGGCTCGATGGCTCAGCCTGTAATCCCACGCCTTTGGGAGGCTGAGGTGAGTGGATTGCCTGAGCCCGCGGGTTCGAGACCCGCCT